GTTTTACTTATTACTTATTTTAGTAGATGTGAAGAGATTAAGTTCAGAAATGACCAGATGGGTCAGGGGGCAATGCTGGAAGGCAGCGTCACGTGACTAAATATGTAGAGATTTTTGTGTGGTAGCTGTGAAAGTGGAAATACCACTGTAGTGACCTGCACAAGAATGAATGATTGTCTTCGATGAATTGTGAATGTCTTTTGGAAGGAAGCCTTTTGTGTTTTGGCTAAGGAATGCAAATCCTGTGTTCAGAGCCTGCAGTCTCCTCTTGAAGATCACTTTCTGAAAACAGTCTCCCTGTCATAGCACATATTGGTAATTGTGTAATATTCTTCCATCTCACAGGTCCAGAGCCAGAAGAGGTTCCTGAGCCACCCAAAAAGGTGGTTCCCAAGTTCCTCCCAAGAGTGCGACCACGCTTTGAGCCCATACATTTTGTCACCAGCGCTGAGAAGGATGGCAAGAAGGACAATTCTCTGGATAACCAAAGGCAGGAGGTGAACCAGGAGGCAAATACAAACAGCATGGCACAGCCAGCTGAAAACTGTACGAATTCTTTTGTGAATGCACGAGAGGTGAATCCCCAGCTCTCCAGCTCAGCTGGGCTTGGCTTTGCAGGCCCAGCAGCAGCAGCCAAGAAGGCTGTGAATAGTGTGGACTCTACCACAAGCAATGCTGTGCAGGTTTCTGTTTCCCCTTCAACTGCCCCGTCTGCATCAGAGACTTTCCCTCCATCAGCAATAATGCTGAAGCAGAGCTTTATGGAGAAACTGTCAGCAGCTGTCTGGAAAAATCTTACTAATCCAGATGCAAACACTGGGACGGATAAAATTAACTTCACGTATCTTTTGACACGTTCAATTCAGGCATGCAAGACAAACCCTGAATATATTTATGTTCCTCTAAAAGAGATCGCCCCTGCTGACCTGCCCAAGAGCAAGAAGCTCCTGACAGATGGCTTCGCTTGCGAGGTGCGATGTCAGAACGTCTACCTGGCCACCGGCTACGCGGGCAGCAAGAACGGATCCCGGGATCGAGCCGCGGAGCAGGCGGTGAAGCTGCTGAAGAAATCCGTGGAAGTTCGAGTTGTTCAGCGGAAGTTCAAGCACACCTACCATGAGGACCTGGTGGTGTGTGAGGCAGGTGTGTGTCGCCCAGATTTCCCTCCCGCTCTCAAACCTCATGAGGAGTTCGTAGTTGCCAACAGGGACTGTGTCCCAATGCAGCCCGGTACTGAATCCATGAAGGGTTCTGCGAACGCCAACAAAGACTGGACTAGTTTTGTCCTCACAGAGAATGCCAGCGATGCAATAGGAATACTTAACAATTCTGCCTCATATAACAAAATGTCTGTTGAATACAAGTATGAATTAATGCCCAACCGCTCGTGGCGTTGTCAGGTGTATCTCCAAGATCACTGCCTGGCCGAGGGATTTGGCACAAAAAAGACCAGCAAGCATGCAGCAGCTGAGGAGGCACTGAAAATCCTGCAGAAGATGCAGTCAAATATAGCATCCATCAAAGTGACCCAGGTGCAGAAAGTGGGCTGCTCATCACGGGGCTCCGGAAGGAAGAAGGACCTGAAGGACTTGGTGATCTACGAGAACTCCAGTAACCCGGTGTGTACCCTGAACGACACCGCCCAGTTCAACAAGATGACGGTGGAGTACGTCTTTGAGAGGATGACAGGCATGCGATGGAAATGCAAGGTGATGCTTGAGGATGAATTCATCGCAGAAGCAGTTGGAGTGAAGAAATCTGTCAAGCATGAGGCAGCAGAGGAAGCCGTGAAAATCCTCAAAAAGACTCAGCCAACTGTTGTTAATAACCTGAAGAAAGGCACTGTTGAAGACGTCATCTCCAGAAATGAGATTCGAGGTCGATCAGCAGAAGAGGCTTTTAAACAGAAGATCAAAGAAGACAACATTGGGAACCAAATTTTAAGAAAGATGGGCTGGACAGGTGGTGGCCTAGGGAAAGATGGTGAAGGAATTAGGGAGCCTATCTCAGTAAAGGAGCAGTTCAAAAGGGAAGGACTTGGGCTTGATGTGGAAAGGGTGAACAGAATCGCTAAGAGAGATATTGAAGAGATCATTCGAAACTATGCACGTTCAGACAGTCACATTGACTTGACTTTCTCTAGAGAACTGACCATGGATGAACGGAAGCAGATACATCAAATTGCCCAAAAGTATGGTCTTAAAAGTAAATCCCATGGGCAGGGACACAACAGATACTTGGTGGTGAGCAGGAAGCGGCGCAAGGAAGATCTGTTAGACCAGCTGAAGCAGGAAGGCCAGGTTGGGCATTATGAGCTTATCATGCCCCAAGCAAACTGAGGTGAACCAGGGACTGAGTTTGACCAGAGACTGAGTTTCCTGGACACTCGACTAAAGAAAGAGATGCTGCATTTTTCTTGTGGGTAATAATGACATTAAAGTCGTTTACTTTGGCAATATAATTTCTACAACGTTGTTAGGTGTTTAGAACGACCGAATTATGTTCAAGCGCATTAGCACAACCCAAAAGCAGTAGTGCTGTTAACTGTATGTGTCTTTGATATTACTTGTTCCTTCACATTTTAATAGTTTTGTAATAGCAAACACACATGTCCAATGAGAAGGAATTTGACATCATTTAAAATTATAGGTCCCTTACTCTTCTTGAGCAAGGAAGGAAAAAAACACTTTTTAAAAAAAATTAAAAAGCAAAGGAAATGCAGTTTGGGGGCATAAACTTGTATGTAAAATTGGTATTAATGACAACAAAAATAAAGTTTTATTTCTGGAAAAAAAAGGTTTTGTCACACTTTGTATTAAAAAAAGTGTGAAAACTTCATTATTCTTGAGAAATACATATATCTAAGACTTGTCTCTGCTGTGTGTGTATGTACAGTATGTAAACCTTAACCAGTTTAGTGGTAGTTGTATTCATAGATTTCTACCTTGAGTCTCCCATTTTGAGAATCACTGAAGGCGCCTTCATTGCCAGTGAATGGGACTGAGAGAATTCCAGCCTTTCTACCTTGGAGAACGGTTGACATGTGCAGATACCATGGTGAAGTGTGAAATATAAAAACTGGAGGTAAATGCAGAGCCCACGCTCAAAGATGCTCATGTAGCTTGTGGGGATTGTTATATAACTTATTTTTTTACTTGGAATATCAGCTATTTAACCCTGAACAAAACTGAATCTGTGCCTGGTTATTTCTCTGCTCCATCCCTGTATCGTGCTTGTGTCTGGTGAGGACGATTCCCCAGGAGATTTCTGGCCTTGCTCTGCCCATGTGCGAGTGTGGAAGCTCTCCAGGGCTGGCTTGTGCCCCTGGGAGGCTGGAGTGCTCCCCTGCTTTAGGGGGAAGCAGCCTCTGACCTCCCCCGTGCTGCTGTGCCAGAGGGTTACAGGACACAGTGCTCTGTGAGCCTTGGAGAACACTCACTTCATGCTTAGGAAGCTTAAGGGATAGAACTGACCTCGGAAGAGGCAGGAGTGAGGCATGCCTGGAGATGCTGGTTATCCTGGCAGCAGTGGGGTCTGCAGATGCTTCTGTACCACTCATTCAGTCCCAATGCAGTGTTTTTGGCAGGTCTCCTGTTGCCATGTCTCAGCCATCACCTTCAGTTTTCTGCTACTTAAGATTTGCCTCTCCAAATCATGACACCCTCCTGTACCTTTTTTCCCACCTCTTGTTCTGGTCTGTTTTTAAATGCTCGGAGGGCTGAGGTGAGGATGCCTAACCTCAGAATGTGTGGTGGTGAGCAGTTAAGAGGGATTTTCATCCCGCAGGGTGATGAGGAAGAGGAGAGACTGCCCTGGCAGGTGAGACTCAGGAGCAAGAGTCTTCACCCCTGTGCCTGTCTGCAGCACAGCTTCTGCCTGCTCAGTCTGGTGAGTAACAACTTGCTGCTGTGAAAAATAATATGACAGTAATTCTGGAAGTACAGGGGTTTTTTTCCATTTTGTTTGGGGTTGGTTTTTGTGCATTTCTTCTCCATATGTCTGAATTCTGCTCTCAAGAATACTGGACTGTAGCAGATGGTGCTGTAGGAGTGGAAGAAGCCTGGCACTTTCTAGGGAAAGAAGAAGTGAAGCTCCTCCTCCCTAGCTTGGGTATGCAGCAGGTTGTTAGAGCCTGGTGATGCCAAGGAAGGCAGTAAGAATTCCACTGGTATTCCAGATGAAAAATGCCTCTCTCGGGAGAGGTGGGGCCTAGCTGTAGTCCTTGTAGCGCAGCTGGCCCAGCCAGCCTGTGCAGGATGTCCTTTCCTCTCCTGGGTGGTGGCTGTGACCCCCTGCCCACGCGGTGCCAGTGTGGGACCTGGTGGGCAGAGCGGCAGCACCGCTGTGCCCAGGGGCTGCGGGGCCTCAGCCTGCAGGAGAGGAGTGGTGGAGTCTGTGGGTAAAGGCCCTGCCTGAGCAGAGTGGGATTGATTCTCTTTGGCAGCTCTGTGCTGCTCATTTCTGGCTGCCTAAGAGTCCTTCTGTTGTTTTGGGTTTTTTAACTAGTGAAACAAACACAAGAATGGTGGGACTGCTGCGAAGGCCGCTGTGGCCTTAGAGGGACTTGGCTCCCTCAGAAAGGGCTGTGGCATCATAGCTGCTCCAAGGCACAAGGCTGTTCCAGGTTACAAGCTCTCACTGCAGGTACAAATCTGCATTACATTTTTTGAAAGAGCCCAGCTACTTGTAGAGAAAGCAGCTTTTGTTATCTGTCCCTCGTCATCAATCCTGTTCTCCACCTGCTGAGACAGGAGGAAGCAAATGCAATTCCTGGATCAACTGAGCTCATGAAGGTGCTGTAGCAAACTGAGGTCAGCTCCTTTCTGTCCACAGCCCAGTCCCTGCTGTCCCTGCAGGTGCAGCCAGCCCTGGCTCTGTCTCACCCTCACTGCTCCTCCCCTGCACTACCCCAGGCACATCTCTCCCCACAGGATCAAGTGTCACAGTACCCCACACCCAACTGCTGGCAGCCCAGTTAAATAAGCAGAGTTATACACTTCTTGCCTATTTATACAATAAGCACTAAGGTTACACTTTATTTACAACTTTTGAAAAATGTACAGTTTCTTACATGGGTTACTTGTGCAAAGTTATACTTTTCAACTAACAGACCAATGTGCACACAAAAGACACTGGAACAGTGGACAACACAATTGCAGGTTCCATCCCACACTGCTGCTTAAGGTTCTGTATCCAAAGGTACAAACTTGCCTTACAAAAAAAGTGACTGGACTTACAAATGTTTTTTTTTCAGAATTGAAAAAATACTTCCATAAAACTGAAGGGAACGAACTCAAGCATGCAGCAGTAGCTCACACAAACCACGCTGTCATCTACAAAGAGCAGAAACTGCAGAGACTCGAGTGCCTACCCTGGACTTAATTCAAACTTTCCACAAGACAAAGTTAGATCCCAAACAATTTATCTTTCTCAGCTAAAGATAAGGGGCAGGAAAAAGACACCAAAGGAGAGTAATTCCATCGCTGGAACAGGTCAGGTTTTACCTCTTCCTTAATGTGGAAGGCCTTTTGCTGAGTACCACAGCTCTGCCTGGTTTTGTCCAGTAATGCCTCAGTGACAGGACTATAGAAACCTACTGACAGTTTCTGTAGCCATATCCTTTAAAACAGTAATTAAAAAAAAAAAAAAAACTAGCTTGTTTCTCACCCTCAGCAAAGATCCAAGTACCACAGCTGTAGTGATTTATGTAGATCTGTACATAAATCTTGCATGTGAAGTGCAGAAATAACAACCATTCCAGGGTCTTATTAAATCTTTGAATTAGAATCAATCAAAGAGTTGATTTTTTTTACATGAGTAAAGGACTGGATAAACCAATACAAAAGGGAAACAAAAGATGATTTCTTCACTCAGTACTTAGAAATGCAGTGGGGTCTAAACCAATAGTAGAGGTAAGTGACCAGCCCGGACACATCAGCACTTTAGTTAATATCAGTTAAAAAATGTGTATGTATATAAACATCCCTTTTATCAAGCTACACATAAGCATCACTGTGTATAACACAATTACAATTAAAAGCTTAGTGTACACTACAGAAATGCACAATACTGCCCTAAGACTGGAGAGGGACCACAGGAAATGAATTCAGCATCAGTAACTCTTTTGCAAGTAACCCAAGTACAGAATGTTTGACTTCAAAGTGAGTGCGTTCTGATGTCCAAGGAGAAGAAGCTTCAGCAAGGGAGGGTGGCAACAGCACAACAGCTATTTTGCTTGCAAAGTAAATGCTAGGAGGAAAAAGATGACTCGGACACTTTGTTTATTTTCCTCATCAACAGAGTGTTCATTTGCATCATCCTGGGTCAACAGTCACGCCAGCTCTGTTCTACTATTGCAGAAACCCGTTTTTCATATTCCCGCTTATTCTCTTGGTATAGCTGAGCTGCCTGGCTGTTTGCTGGACTGTTCGGATTTGGCTCATCCAATAGGGACTGTGCAAAGAGAAAAAGATCCTTAGGCACTGCAAAGTACAGTTTCCCAACACATTCTCTAAGCTACCCACAGTAGTCAGAGCAGATCTGTCAGTCCAGGTGCAGCACACTGCATCCTTGCTGCTGGAAGGCCTGAGAGGCTTTGGCCACCAGCGTCACCCCTGCACAGGGCAGGGGACGTGCTGTGACAGCCAGGCACTGCTGCTGGGCCCCTGCAGTGACCTCGTGTGTCACAGCCTGGCCAGTTTACACCTGGGAAGGAGTCACACTTTGCCAGTATCACAGCTGCTATACTGGCTTTTAGGAGAGGGGACAATACGTTTCCTGAGCTGTTTTTGTCAAAGCATCCCAATGTAATTCTGTCTCTTCATGCAGAGTTCTTTTACCTGTATGGATGTTAGGATGGAGGAGACATCATAAGTGGGGCTCCAGCGATTCTGAAGGATATCCAGACATATACTACCATCTGCATAGACTGGAAAGGGTCAAAAGAAGCAGCTTAAAACACACCTTGTTTTTTCTGCCTAGTATTGCCCAGTCCTGAAAACCTACATACAGACACACTGCACAGTCCATAGTGCCTGACAGGCTGAAATCCTGCAAACAGGCCTGTAGGTAGGAAGCAGTGAAGCTCCTCACCAACAGAAGCCTGATGTATTTAAACTCAGCCCCCACTTATTCTCTCACAAACTTCTCTGTGTCTTTGCAACTACCACTGTGGAAAACCATGAACAGATTTTAAAGCAAAAAAATTTTACCTACCCAGAAGTGAACCAAACAAAGAATGCCCACAAACAGTTGTTCACACTCAAGGTTTCCCCATGAAGTCTCTACAACAGAGTCCAGTCACCTTACTCACAGCAGCTACAGGAGAACCTTCCCTCCCTGCACCGTACCCACACTTGAAGTGTTGGAAGGTTTCTGGTATTTCTGCAGAAAGGTAGCATTTGTTTGGAGGCAAGGAATACCTCTCCAGCCCTTAGTTACCAAGGAAGGGGATTAATTAAACAATCTTACTGTCACTGGCTGTAGCTGGACCCTAACATTACATTTCATGGTGTATTATCCTTACAGGCATTTGGGGAAGAAAAGTTATAGAAGAGAGCTGCATTCACCAGTGTCACTATGCTATGTCTACAATACATACAGACAGAAGTCCAAAGCACTGCTATTTAAGTACAAAACATTCTTCTGTAAGGCTTAACAGGCAGTTGAGTGTCTCAGCAGTACTGTGCTGTAACACCTGAAAGGTAAGAGGCTCCTTTTATTGCCCCTTTCTTTTCAAGCCTGAGCACTGCTCACACATCCATTCTCACCAAAACTACACAGCCACACTGGAATTTTGCTGCCTTATTAGATAGTAGAAACTTTTATAATAAATTAACCTTTTCTACAGAAAGCTATAATGAAAAAAACCCCAGCTCTCTCTTCTACCCCACCACACCTCCAACAAACAGCAAAAGTAAACCCAAGCATTGTGTAAGTACTTACCATTTGGATGAAACATTTTAGAGACAAATCTGACAGTAGGTGGCTTATTTGGGTATTCTTCTGTGAATTCTATTGTAAGTTTGAAAGTTCCTGGAGTTGAAAGAGAGATAAGCAACCTTTATTCGGCATGAATTTACACAAGGGAGGAGTAAGTAGCATTCCCCTACAATACACACTGACACTGCTATGCTCACACAGGCATGATGGATATGGAACACACATTGTGCAATCCCACAGCAATTCCTTTACTCTCACGGAGTTAATCATTAACGCTGAAATCCCGGACAGTACTGGTACAAGAGTATTTCCTGTGACTGACTTTTATTAAACCAGTGAAAAGGTTTATGTAGGGAAATAAACCTGCCCTTGGGGTTTTCTTCCAGAGAGCCTAATCCCAGTACACCGTACAAATAACAGCAGTGGGTGTAGAACCATCTGTGTAACATAACGTCATTCGGCGAGTCCTATCTATGGAATATGCTGTCATAGCAAGGACCTTGTCATTTATTTCCTCTAAATTAATTAAAAAAGCATATTTCTCAACAACTGTAATGTAATCAGGTCTTACAGAAAAGTAGTATTGAATGCAGCATCCAAATCTGACACTTCAAAATATAAACCTGACCATTTACTTCACACCAACTGGTCATCCTTAGAGAAAGACTGAGCAGAAACAGAAAACTGTAGGTGAGGGTGAGTCTCAATCCAACCATTTTAACAGCCTGCACCAACATAAATTATTTTAGCCCTTCTCCTCAGGCTATGATAATTTGAGAATAAGAAGTCTGTCAACTAAGCTGCACATATGGGTTCAGGGGATTAAGAACTACTCCTGATTCAGCTTGGTCACTAAGGAACTCTACCTACTCCACTGCAGACCACACGAGCTCCTCCCAGCCAGAGCAGCCTGGCATGTTCCTGCTGTGCCCAGAGAGAACCTCTGAAGCACCTGCACATAAATATACAGCTCACCTGTGCAAGGACTGCACCTGACACTAACAGCTGGGGCAAGCTGCTGGTGGGGCATATTGCCTTCTTTGAAAGGGCATCCTTATGTATCAGAGATGGACGAGTCAGGTTCCCTCTGTCCCCCCCATGCTCAGTGTCCTTGCTTCCTATTGTGAGGGAGTTTTGCAGCCCTAATATAATGAAGTTATTCCTTTGTTTGGCTAGCAAACATGTGCCAATAACCAGTAAGCCAGAGAACAGATTTTTGGTTTTCCTTTTTTTTTTTTCCAGATCATCAAAGACCTACAAGATTTCCCAGGGACTCCTTTCTTTATAAGGAGATAAACTGTAACACTGAGTTGCAAGAAATGAAGGTCATTGCTTTGACGTTCCAGTTAGCATATGAAGACACAGCACAGATGCTTTAGCACTTTCTCTACAGCAGTGGGAAGTCTCAACACCCTAAAAATAAGTTTATGCATGTTTGTTTTTTTTTTTTTATTAGCAGCCTAACAATGTAACAGCAGAGAGCCAACACTATGCTATCTCACTGTGAAACAAACGAGCCATAACAGTAGAGCTAGGATTGTTCAAATTAGTGGAAGTCTGTAGTGGGGTTTTCAAGTTTACTCCAGCTTAGCCCAGAGGCACAGAGCCAGGTCTGAGATCAGCTTGAAACCCAGGACTGGGAAGTTATGAATAAATTCTATCAGCTGCAAACATCAGCCCCTTAGAACCAAATGCTTAGAGATTCGATTCCAGATATTCTCAGCTCTCCCTGCCCCAGTTCTGGTTCTCAGTAGGTTCCTCTTGAGGAAGGAATGACTAAGCAAGCAGTAGGCTGAAAACCAAGCACAACCATCACACAGGTTCGACAGTAACAGCAGCAGTTTGGTCTTAGAATTTTTTAAAAACTACTGAAAGAAAGGGAAGCTATTGTCCCACCAGAGACAGAACAGCGCTACTTGAACACAAATCTGAGCACGGGGCTCATGTGGAGCAATATCCAGCTGGAGTGTCTACTCAGATTTCCAAGTCAGGGCCCAGAGTGGCAATGGCTCTTTGGAAATGCTCCACAGTATGCAAACCCTCACTATTGAGCTTTATTAAAGGGCAAATCCAGACATTTGACGCACCAAAGTCCAAGGGTCACTCACACTGAAAGCCCACAACAGGTATCACAGCACCCTGCTGGGGATGAGGTCTTCAGGGTCCAGTCCCTTCTGTCGCTAATTTTAATGCTTTCAACTGGTATTTCTCACAACTACCTTAGACAGACATTTTAAAACCACAAATTATCATATTTACTGTCATTATTGATATTGGGATCACCACTAATCTGAGGCAAACATTCTCTTTTCTGCCTTGTGCTTACCTTGTTGATCACTTCTACCTCAGGATTTGAGACCCTGACACAGCCAAGAGAGGCTTCTGCACAGCCCGTGCACCAGCCCCAGCTACTCCAGAGCAGAGCCTGCAGGGCCCCCTCACTGCAGCCCCCAAGAGCAACCCCTCCATTCCACTGCCCAAAAAGCAGGGATGAGCTCTTTCACTCCTCCTCGAGGATACAGGATCCATATTCCATGAGCAAGGCATAAACCACACAGAAGACAAATGCCTTGTGTTCTCTGCTCAAGCCTCCTGCACAACCACAGCGAGGCAGGATACAATACCTGAACTACTTAAATCTCTCTGAGCCAGGAATCCTACACTAACCACACCATCATCATCCAGCTTCAGAGACACGGGTCTACAGCACTGGGACAGCCTGGAGTTACGTGGCTGTGCCAGCATTACCACTTTAGATGCCACACACATAAAGATTCTTCAAAATATGGTGAAGGGCAGGATAAGTATCCCCAGGGTCCCACTGCAGACACCTGCAATTGAATCCTCTTAAACCAGAAGATGCAAGTTATGCTGCTGATCTAAATTAGGGTTGCTCCTAAGCTGAGCCAGCCTGCACACTGAATTGTGAAAACACCTTCCAAAGTCTGGGGGAGGAGGAGGAGGGATATCAGCTGCAGAATGCTGCACAGCAGGTAAACAAATGTGTTTCAACTTCAGGTTTGCTGCCCAGACAAACCACAACACTTCAGAAGCTGCAAGCAGAGAAGGGCCTCACCAGAACGAGGATAAAGAACAGTCACTGTCATAATGTTGGCATTATAATACCTCTAGAATAAAAAGAACCCCAAATTTCACAGGCTACTTTTAAAAGAACTAAGCTATCCAAAATTTTACAGTATCACCACAGAGTGAAAAAGCTAAAAATTAAAAACAACACTTATCTGCAAAGGCTTCCTAAGAAAGATTATAGAGTTTCAGTGTCTTTGAGTTAAGGACCTGTGCAATTGCAAAGCAAGTCCAAACTAACATGCTGTTACATTAAAATTTCCTTACTCTTACCTACACGAAGCTGAACTGCATTAGCATTATGTGAACTGTGCTGCTCCACTCACTGAACAGGAAAGCACAGCTGAGGCACCAACAAGCCCTATCTCCAGGCTCCACTTAGTGCTTTGCTATCTAGGAAAGTAAGATGCATCCAGAGGGGAGGAGATAAGCAGATATCCTGCAACACAAGACACATCTGTTTTCCTGAGCAGGCAGTGTGAAAACACAGACTTTGCTAAGAAAAGAGCAATCCATCACACCTTGAGATTACATTATGACATCAACCAAAGCAGCCTCAGCATCTGTCTGAACCTCAAACTGCTGCGAGTGCAACACTCAGTCCTCAGTAGCCAAGATAAAGACACAATGCTGCCTCAGAAAGCACAGAGGAAATCAATATGTCAGGGCTCTCAAAAGCAATCCTCAATCTTCTGCAACTAAATGGAAATATATGGAAAAAAAAAACCCTTACAGCATCTGTTAACCACATGCTGAGCTGGAAGAGCTTGAGCATGGTAAAAACCTGCATTTTAGCACACTGCAAGGAGACAGCTTTCTGCTCCAAACAGTGAATCACTCTATTAGCAGCAGTGCTCCAAGAGCCTAAAGCAGCTCTGGAAACCCCCACAGAAGTTTAAGTGAGCCCTTCTTTAAGGATTACCAGATGAGACAGCAAAATACATTTAGTCTAGTTGTTCTATTATGCAACGTTTTAAGTCCAAGTTCTAAACATCAGACCGCTGAAGCAGCTACTCCAGCAAATTTCTTAACTAATGAAATACATTTTAAAAAAGTGAGTCTTCAGAGTTTTCTTAGGCCTGAAATATTTAAAGTCTTCAAAATCTTCACAGAGAAATACAGTCTGCAATTTAGAGGCACATTCACAGGTGCTACCTCCACAGATAAACAAAGTCAAGGGAGTTAGCCAAGAACAACATGAGAGTTAAGGAATTTTTCCTATGCTTTTGTCATGAGTCATGGAGCTCCAAGATTAATTATAGCCTACACTGAAAGTACCTTAAAAAATGCATCACTGATTTCAGTTAGACAGTATTTCATGTCTAACAGGTTTTCACAAGATGCTTAAGTACTCATACAGCATCAGTAACCTATCATAGTCAGGAAGACCAGATGGAAACTATAGGTATGCCACCAGGAACCTATTTAATCAGGTTTTAAATTTAAAAAGTCTTTTCAACCTTAAGCCCTGAATGCTACCAATTGGAGCAGAGCAAAATTAATGACAAGAAAAAGCCACTTTTCCAAACTTCCTCAAACATTCAGCCCATTTCCTACCTCAGCTGACTTGCATTGGAACTTGCTCACAAAACACTTCCAGCATCAGAAAAAACAGAACTCAAAGAAAATACAACAGTTCTATACCAAGTTATTGATGGTTACCCAAACACGAATGTCCCTAAAAACATGATCCAGAGTTCAACAGGAAAGTTTGTAGAGACGCTTAAAATTATTTATAATAGATGTAGTGACTACATATAAGACTGTACAAGCTAATTTGTATGCTTTTCTAAGTCAACACAGCAATCTAAATCTACAACACTTTCTGAGACTAGGATTGGAAAAATAATATTTACATAAATCAGGCACACATGTGTGTGGTCAGGTGAACATGCACCCACGTCCCCCTGCCACAGAGTCTACGGTAATGACACCGAGGCCGCGTCAAACCGCAGCAGTTTACCCCAAGAAGGCCAAACACCAGTCCCGCACGCCGCACTTACCGTCCTCGAAAGGCGTCCCCTCGGGCCTGGAGAGGGAAAGCAAAGCACAGCGTTATCCGCTGGCAGCCCGGCCCCGGCCCCGCGGCGGCTGCGCGGCCCCGCGGCCCGCCGCCCCCTTCCCTGCCGACTCACCCGAAGATGACGGCGTTCCACACCATGATGTTGTTCTCAGAGGGGGCCCCGCTCACCCCGGCCGGGGGATCCTCCTGCAGCCTGCGGGGCACAGCGGCGCTGAGCGCGGCCTGCGCCACCGGCGTAACCCGGCCCGGCGGCCGCGGCCTGCGCAAACGGCGTAACCCGGCCCGGCGGCCGCCGCCTGCGCCACCGGCGTAACCCGGCCCGGGAGCCGCCGCCTGCGCCACCGGCGTAACCCGGCCCGGCGGCTGCCGCCTGCGCAAACGGCGTAACCCGGCCCGGCAGCCGCCGCCTGCGCAAACGGCGTAACCCGGCCCGGCGGCCGCCGCCTGCGCAAACGGCGTAACCCGCGGCAGACAGCGCCGCCCTCGCTACGCTACCAGCGGAGCGCGCCTTGCCCCGCCGCCATGTTGTGCTGCCCCCTCCTCCCCCGGTAGCGCTCGGCCCTTCGTCCTCCTCCCCCCTGCCTGCCCCTTTACCCTCGGCCCGCGGCCTCGGTACCTCTTGAAGTCCCGCATGAGGCGCCTACGGGCCGGAGTGGACATGACGGGCTGAGGGTTATAGCTCAGGCATACACTGCCGGAGGGAGCGCCGGGCGCGGCTGAGGTTCGAGCTCCGACTGAGGCGGCGGCGGCGGCGCTGACGGACAGGAGCGATCGCGGCCTCTACCACTACGGCGGGCGCGGGGGGGGGGGGGGGGAGCCTGGGCTGCACCGACTCCTGCGCCGGCAGCCGGACGGTGCCGGGATGTACCAACGGCGCAGGGAGAGGGGGGCGGAGCCGGATGTGGCTGAGCCCCCGGCCCAGCCTCTACCACCGCGGCGGGGGCGGTGCCGGGGGCGGCACCAACGGCGGCGGAGGGCGGGGGGTGACGGAGCGGTGACGTCACGGCGGGGGCGGCGCGGCGGGGGCGCTGCGGGCGGGACCGGAACAGTTGGATGGGGAAAGCCAAGGGCGAGCCGAACAGGGCTCCGCACAGTTCCGCACTTCCCCGGGGCAGGCAGGGCTCCGCCACCGTAACGGTGTCTTGGGAAGACAAGCACCATCACTCCCTCCTTCTCCCCAGGTTTCTGTGCTGAGCATGAGGCGCTGTGGTCTGGGATGTCCCTGGGCTCAGCTGGGCTCAGCTGTCCTGGCTGGGTCCCCTCCCAGCTCCTTGTGCACCCCCAGCCTCTCGCTGCTGGGCTGGGCTCAGGAGCAGAGAAGGCCTCGGCTCAGGGTAAACCCTGCTCAGCAGTAACAAGAACATCTCTGAGTTATCAGCACTGCAGCCAGCACAAATCCAAACCTCAGCCCCACACCAGCTACTGTGAAGAAAACTAACTCCATCGCTGTCAAAACCAGCACAACCGGCTACACTGCATTTTCTGTTTTCCCAGAGAGTGTTTTCATGGGAAAAATAAACTATTTCTACGATTCTTTAACAGCTTTTGGAAATAAAGAATCTCTCAGCTGTCGTGTAAAGCAGGCTGGCTGGGCTCTGTTTCTCGAGTGAGTTTATCCTCACTTGTAATTTCATATAATCCAGCTGTGTGGGGAGGCGGCTGAAGAAAGAGACACGGGAGAAAACCCAGAAAAAAAGAAAGCTAACATTGCAGTCACGGCCGCACTGCGAGCCTGCCGTTCTGGACCCTTCCCGCTGTACCGGCCCGTGAGGTGAGAACCGTGTGAGCTCTGGGCGCTTGTCAAGAAGAGCCGTGTGCCTTTAGGGGCAGAGGAGCTGCGGAGCCGCCCCGGCGGGCGGGGCCGGGCCAGGCGGGGCCGGGCCAGGCGGGGCCGCGCCCGCCGCTCCGAGCGGCCGCCGCCATGCCCAAGGTGGTGTCGCGGTCCGTGGTGTGCTCCGACACCCGCGACCGCGAGGAGTACGACGATGGGGAGAAGCCGCTGCACGTCTACTACTGCCTGTGCGGGCAGATGGTGCTGGTGCTCGGTGAGCCGGGGCAGCCGGGACGGGCAGGCCGGGACGGGCAGGCCGCGGCCCGGCGGCGCAGAGGGCCCGGGAAGGCGGCGGCGGGGTGTGGGTCCGGGATGCGGGTGTGGGTCCGGGATAGGGGTGCGGGTCCGGGATGCGGGATGCGGGTGCGGGTCCGGGATGCGGGATACGGGTGCGGGTCCGGGATAGGGGTGCGGATCCGGGGTGCGGGTTCCGGGTTCCCGCCGCCAGCCCGGCCCTCGCTGCCCGCAGACTGCCAGCTGGAGAAGCTGCCGATGCGGCCCCGGGACCGCGCCCGCGTGATGGACGCGGCCAAGCACGCCCACAAGTTCTGCAACGCCGAGGAGGAGGAGAGCGTCTTCCTGCGCAGGTGGGCCCGGCCTCTGCATCCCCTTCCCTCTGAGCCCGGGCCGCGGAGGGGGATCCCTCCCCGCCCAGCTGGGAGCCGCCAGCCAGGCACGGAGACCCTGTGTCCCTGTGCTCTGCTCAAGCGCTGCCTCTCTCCCCCAGACCTGAAGGCATAGAGCGGCAGTTCAGGAAGAAGTGTGGCAAGTGAGTGACCTTTTTTAGTCTTTTGAGTGGCTTTTAGAATCTTTTTGATGAGGAAACCATCGGAACCCAGAATCTGGGTTTCCTCTCAGCTATGAATATTTCTGTTTCCAGGTGTGGACTGCTGCTCTTTTATCAACACCAACAGAAAAATGCTCCTGTGACATTCATTGTTGATGGTGCTGTGGTCAAATTTGGCCAAGGTTTTGGGAAAACAAACATATATACTCAGAAACAAGAACCTCCTAAAAAGGTGACTGGCTTTAGAGAACAAGGATACCTTTGCTTTTCTAAAGGTGTTGTGTATAAATAACTTCACGGTGAGTGGAGAGGGGAGAGAAAAGAAAAAGGACCTCAATTTTTTGTCTTGTCCATGTCTCCCTGAAGTTTTGCTTTATAGTAGTCAATGCAGCTTGAAATCCTAGCACTAAAGGAGAGCAGAATCAACTCTAAAATCTAGACTGTGCCTGATGTTTAGGCTCAGCAGAAAGTTTAGAATTGTAAGTAGGTCAGGTTGGTAGTCTGCACAGTGATTGTCAAAGTCTGGCTCATCTACTGTATATCAGTGAGCTTGCTTCTGGTAATGACACCTCTAAGCCCCGAAATCCCTGAGCATAATTCCCCTTTGCCACCCACAGAGTTCAGGTAATCTTGATGGCTTGCATAAGAATCCTTGAAACCTTTGGAAGGAGGAAGCAATCCCTACTGGCACAACTGTTGCCAAGATTTAACAAAATATTCTTGTTTTTCACCCAGGTGATGATGACCAAACGGACCAAAGACATGGGCAAGTTCAGTTCTGTCACAGTCTCCACAATTGATGAAGAGGAGGAGGAGATTGAAGCAGTGAGTTTTGGATGCCCTTAGTGGCAGCCACATCTGACAGAGCCAGCTCTGTTAGGATGAGATGTTGTTACTGTTGTTACTATGGTTTTGCTGTTGCAAAGTGATGTGTGTGTATTTCAGAGGGAGATCGCAGACTCATATGCACAGAATGCAAAAGTGATTGAGAAGCAGCTGGAACGCAAAGGCATGAGCAAGAAAAGGCTACAAGAGTTGGTGAGTTTTTCTTTGATGCTGAACACAAAGCTCTGAGATGTGTTGGCTTTGTACACAGAAGCTATCTTGCAGATCAGACTGTAAGTATAGAGAGGTCCTGCTATAGTCATAGGCAGCTTGCAGCTTTGTGAGGATGACATTTCCTTTACAAGTTTTATAAAGGTGTTCTAGTCCCCCTGAACTGCATGCCATTGCCTGGAGAGCTAACTGAAGAGCAGCCAGCAGAGTGCTTGCAGGGAGGCTTTCTGTGACCTGTTGGACAAGGAACAAGGGAAGGAGAAATCAGGCCATGGCTTTGCCAGCCTGTGCTCTCATGCCTGCTTGGCAGAGCAGGTCATGGCCATGAGGGCACGGCAAGGTTCTTGTGGAGGCTTTGCAGCTCAGCTGCTACTGCAAGGGGCATTTGAAGAATAAATGGCAAGATCACAACTGATCTTACCTCCTGTGACAGGAGGGTAGTAGATGGAAAGGGGAAGGAAATGTGCAGCTTCCACCTGAGGATTGAAAGTATGAAATTGCCTCTTGGGCAGTTGGTCTTGGGCTTTTTACGATTTTAAAGATGGTACTTGTTTTGTACATCAGCAAAGCACTTGAGCTACTCTTGCTCCTAGTTTTGGAACTGAAAAGTTTGTTTGGTCAGACAAGAAGAGCAAACTTAGTTGGAGCACTGAAGAGAAAATTATCCAGACATTATTTAATTCTACTTTAATTTTCCTATTCAGGCTGAGTTGGAAGCCAAGAAAGCCAAGATGAAGGGAACCCTGATTGATAACCAGTTCAAATGAAATGCTATTTATCTGCTGGGTTTTCGGAGACAGGAGAAAACTACCAAGAGCTATCACAGTTCTGTCTACAAAGCAGAAGTAACAGACAACATTCAAGAGTTGCACTGTGCTGCAGCCACCTTGGAGGATGAGAACCTCTCTGGATCCCTCTGTATAAGTGATACTCTGGGTACCAGTCCTAACTCCAACAGCACTGGTGCTGCTGCTCACCCTGACCTGGCAGAGGCAGCCAGCACAGACTGGGCTGCTGCACTGCAGTCTCAGCTCCTGCTGAACATCACAAGGCTGCAGTTGTACAGAATTACACTGTCACAACAGACACATACCAGAGTGTAAAATCCAAGCCTGTTTTAAACTACTGTAAATAAAAACTGCTACTAATGAGTTCAAATACATGTTTGGAAGTTACTGATACAGCCAGTGATCATTAAAAAATACAACTGCACATCTGAACTAGCCCATTGGTCAAAACAGTATCAGTATTTGGAGTTGTGAAATGTAAAGGAAAAATCGTTTTTAATGTACTGACCACTAAGGCCTTGGATAGACAACATTACACACCAGGTTTTTTTTTTTTTTTTTAAAGTACCTTGTTTGGGTAATAGTACTTTGTGCCTCTTGCATGATGTAATAACAGGGCTCTCTAGCCCATGTCTTCATTGCTTTACATTGGATTAAATATCATATTACAGATTTGAACTAAAATACCTCTCCTGAGATGTTCTTGCTCTACCAAGTACATGCATCATAAAATGCAAGCAATGAATAAGATGCTTCCATCTCCCACAATTATTATGGAAAACTTCCTGTAATTGATAAAGATTTTCCATCTGGCTTTGTAGCCCTGACTGGGAAAACTCAGATCTGTGTACCTAAGGATCTATCCTCTCTTTCTCGGGAAAACAAGTAAAAGAGGGAGTGAACTCTAAGCAGAGCTAGCAGAGATGGGTTGGTAGATCCTGTGACAGTTTAATGCTGGGCTGGTAAGCAGGTGTTGACATTAACTCACGCAGTGCTGATCCTGTTCCCTGCTCATCACCTGCTAATCTGAAGCCTGTGACCAGAGGCCCGTGGTGGTGTGCAGTACTTGGGAAGGGCAGGAGACGTGTGGGGACACAAAGCCCTTTCCTGGTGTGGTAGCACAGTCCAGCCAGGCGAGGGCCTCAGGCTTCCTCTGGGAGTGATCCAAGCCTGGGGTAACTGCAGGTCACCCTGTAAAAATTCAGACTTTTTTTTCCCAAGGAAGAGTAAAAGATTCTGACATCTGAAAATAGGTTTTGAACCATGTGAGAGGTGCTGGGATGCAGATGCTGAGTCTCCAGTTGTCCAAAGATGAAGTGTGGTCTTGCTTCAGGTGACATCAGAACAACAAGCTGACTTGGGGATGGTGGAATTTATTGTCAGGGTTAAGGCTGGGAGTGACAAAAGGCTTCAGCTGAGGACAGACTGTGAAGGGGCTGCCAGGTGGGGATAGGACCATCTTTGCAGTTTGGTGAGGCACAAAGAAAATCTGCCAAGTGTCCCAGCTCAGCACAAGTTGTCCAAAGTAGCTGTTACCAACTGCCATCAACTTCCTCAGCTGCCACCTGGAGCCTTGTGACAGCACAGCACAGGCTTCTGGAAGGCCAGTCCATGTTCAATCAGTATTTGTCATTCTTGTCATTGGAAGTCTGCCTAGTTTGGCTCAGGACTTGTCCGTGTACCCAGTCAGAAAGGGGAATGCCTTGTATCTTCTGAGGTACTTTTGATAGACTCTAGTTATGCAGGCCATGGCTGAAACAACTCCAACACAGAGAATCTGATCCAATACATTATGTATTTCTTACTTCAACTGGAGCTAGTTCACAACAGTATAAATCAAGTTGGGTTTTTCATTTCTAGATCTAAATGAATTAAAATACATTAGCTGATTGTAGCAACAGGAAGCAGGGTCACAAAGTTCAAACAATTGATGAAATGTCCTGTTAGAATAGATAAAACCAGCTGTTCTGCAGGGTTTCCCATACCCTGGTAGCAAATGTAGCAGAGCTCAGACCAAAGAAAAGTCAGATTTCATGTTACAGTCAGACATGTAAAAGTCAACATTTGTTTTTAGAAATGTGTAGATACAGGTAAGTGATAAATTTGTTTAACTGAGCACCACATTGTATGTAAGAACTTGTCTAGATGCAGAGGTATCACAAAATGTGAAATAAAAGCGAAGGAGCAAATCTGTTCCAAAAGTAATGGCACACATGGACAGACTTACCTTACTGTATTTCATTACTTAGTTCAGACCAGTTTCCAAGCACATTCACAAAACTCTAGTCTGATTTACCATGTCAGAACAGCTCTGCATGTAACACTGCTGTCTGCCTCCCCAGAACCTGTACAAAATTTCCCCACAATTTGTGGACAATCAAGAGAAGTAACAGTGAATCCAACCTCAGTGTTAATCACAGCTGTGCAGCATGGGAGCAGCATGGAGTCCTCCTTGCCTGCCCCCTGAGGGGAAGTTTCAGGTCAACCCTTACAGCTCTTCTTGTGCTCCATGCCTGTGCTATCTTACTCAGTGCAGATGGATTGCTCTGACTCTCTAGACTGTTGCATTGATAAATGCACATTGATAAATACACATAATGTATCTGACAAAGGGATCAGCTTGGGAGCAGCACTAACTGATCAGCCTGAATCAAAGTAGGCTCAGCTTTTGCTGGTGCTATCCTGAAGAGGCCATGGGGCTTTGCCACATCCAGGCATTTTAAAAGTATAAAATTATGGGCTTGTTTAAAAGGTTCCAGGGCTGGGCTCCAAGGATGGAATGGAAGCTTTGTAACTCCCTGCTGAGGAATCCTTATGACCCTGGCTGGCCACAGCATACAGGGGTTTTGGGTAGATTTCAAGGCACAAGTGGTCAATCTCTCTTTTGCTGTCAGCCAGAAAAACTCCATCCCCATGCCAGCAGCCAGGGCTGTAACTCCTGGAAATCCCAGCAAACCACTGGTGGGACAACACCTCCCAAAACCTCCCTGATGCTGCCAGCCTTGGTGTGGGGTCTTGGCAGGTCCCGAGGTCTCATTGTTCCCAAAACCACCACCCCCAGCAGCTCAGTATGGCTCCAGGGTGTGCAGAACTGGGCCTGTGTCCTTGCAGGCACACGAGCTTAGCTCTGTCCCCACAGCCCAGCCCACCTTGCATGGCTGGGCAGTGGCAGGAACAATCCCCACTGGAACAACTGATTTTACCCTGCATGACAAAGCATTGCCTCTTCCCCTGCCCTCTGCACCAGACACTGCCAGTCATGCAGGCAGCACGTGAAAGGTGCTGGGGCAATGCCTGCCAGGGGTGACAAGGACATAGAGGCAGGGGCACTCCTGGCTCCTTCCAAAGCACAGAGACACAGCCTGGAGTGACCCAACAACTGCTGAAGGGGACAGTGGAGTGGATGAGGTGGCACTCTGCTGGTCTTCTACAAGTCAAGTCCGTGGGGTGGGATGTTCTCCACAGCAAGACTCAGCACACAGGCAGGCACAGCCCAGCTGGGGCAGGCTGGTGCAGGAGCCATTCCAACCATCCCACACCAATCACCACCTGGCCCAGCCACTGACAAGCTGTCACACGATCCCCTGCACAGCTGTGCTGTGTCAACACCTCCTAAGCCTGGGATTTATGGCTGCTGGGCCAGGGGCTGGGACAAAGGCAGCATTTCAGGCATTCACCCATCCCTTCCCACCAGCAAAGGAGCTGATGCACCAGGCTGGACACAGCTCCTGTGGAGGAAACCACGATGTGTGTGACGTTCAGCCCTTCCCACAGGAGAATCACACTTAAAAGGAAAATCCACCCCCATCCATGCCATTCTTGGGGCAGCACAGCCCAGGGGACAAAATGCTGTGTTGGAGGGACTGCACTCAGCTTGCTGGCAGGCCCCAGTCCTTTTCTCACGCCTCAGTTTCCCCACAAGAACAAAGCCCTTAATCCCTGCACAGTGTGCTCCTGTGGCAGGGAACAGCAGCAGCTCAACCCCCCAGCCTGGTCCCCAGAAAAAGCTGCTCCCAGGAAAATGCCAGGAGAGGGGCAGTTGAAACCCCAGAAGGTCTCCAGCATGTAGTACCCAACAGGAACGCAGGAAAAACCCCTTGTGGGCTCTGCCCTGCATCTCCCACCTGCCAGAGCTAAAAAGAGCTGTGAAACACATTCTCATTTCATAAATCCCCAAAGCAGTCAATAGGGCAGGTAGCTAAACCCATTTCACTCAGTGCCAGCCCTGCACCCCAAGTCCAGTGCACAATCTGTAGGTCTTAACTTAGGGATGCCCCAGCTCAGCTCCTTTGCAGCCTGGCACAACAGCCCAGCTCAGTGCCTCACCCACCACTGTGTGCAGGAAGAAATGATGCACTTACCTTAATATGCCAATGGCCTGGCCATGCAGCCCCTGTGCAGGAAAGGACAGGAAGGGATAACCCATGCTGAGCAACCAGCAGCATTTCAGAAGAGCCCTTGAAATCCAGGAGAGCTCAGCAGCAGCTGGCTGAGAGCCCTTACTTAATAAGCTGGCACTTGTACAACAGGAGAGAGCTCTCTGGTAAAGCTTCCCCATGGCACAGAGACCTGCCAAGCTGCTGCTTGTGCCCCCAGCACTGCCCACGGCTTGTGGCACTGCTTCGTATCTCACCTTTACAGCCCATTTCATTTCCACAGCAGGCAGTGGGGGATCTCACACTGCAGCAGCCCGGGGGCACTTGAAAATCATCAGCCTGGACAGTTGGCTCAGCTGTGAGGCACAAGACTGTCTCCCATCAGGAAGGGCCCTGCCCCTCACAGGGACCCTGGCAAGCCAACACCACCTGCAGCAGGAAGGTGCTGCGCTCTCATGCCTGGCTGCCCTGCTTAAGATTCCAGCAATAAAAACAATTCTCGCCCTTTGCAACACAACGTCTTGTTTAGCTGCCTCGGGCAGTGGTTGAGATTGGTTTCAGTGATTGAAATTAACTGCTTTGAGCAGGCCTGGGCAGCCAGAAAGGACCAAAGGCATGGGGAAAGTGAGGAGACTTGCTGATCTGAAAGGCAGAACACCAGGAGAGCATTCCCTCACCACTCCATGTCTCCAGGCAGAAACCAGGCAGCTTCACTGGGATGACTCACAGACCTACAGAGGTATCTGGGTAAAGGCCACACCACACACCTTGTTCCATCTTGCAGTTTTCCCCAAATTGTCCCAGCAGCATGAAGAAATTTTCCCCATCCCCTGGAATTTTGAAGCTTAAGTTCTAGGTGTAAGGAATGAGCCTGGAAATGCATCTCCCTGCCTAGCAAGCACAGCTGGTACAGAAGCTGTCTCTGCTCAGCTGCTGCATCCCCACAGCACAGCACGCTCTGTGAGAGCAAGGCAAGCCAGGGAAGCTAC